GAGACTCATTCACTATCCTGAGAACAGTGCAGGAAAGACCCACCCCTATAATTCAATCGTCTCCCATGACATATGGGGATTGCAGAAGATACAATTCAAGATGAGATTTGGGTGGGAACACAGCCAAACCATATCATTCTACCCTGACCCCTCCCAAATCTCATGTCCTCACATTTCAAAACCAATCATACCTTCCCAACAGTTGCCCAAAGTCTTAACTCATTTCAGCATTAACTCAAAAGTCCACGGTCCAACATCTCATCTGAGACAAGGCAAGTCCCTTCTGCCTATGAGCTTGTAAAATCAAAAGCAAGTTAGTGACTTCCTCAATACAATGAGGGTATAGGCATTGGGTAAATACAGCCATTCTAAATGGGAGAAATTGGCCAAAACAATGGGGTTACAGCCCCCATGCAAATTCGAAATCCAGCAGGGCAGTCAAAACTTAAAGCTCCAAAATGATCTCCTTTGACTCCATGCAATCAAAGGTTATGCAGTCAAAGGTTATGCAGTCAAAGGTTATGCAGTCGAAGGTTATGACTCCATGCAGTCAAAGGTTATGCAGTCAAAGGTTATGCAGTCAAAGGTTATGACTCCATGCAGTCAAAGGTTATGCAGATGCAAGAGGTGGGTTCCAATGGTCTTGGCAATAGTTAAGAAAACAAAAACGAAAAATCTTAGTTCTTGTAACACAAATAACTCTATTTTCATAAGTAATCAAAGATCTTGATAAAGACAACTTTGTGGTTTTTCACAGAAAGAAGACCAAATTCTAGTTTTGCATCAGTGTACTTTGATAGTGAAAGCCCATTTTAAAATCTTTGTAATAAATTCATTCAATTTTATCCAGTTTAACCACATAAGATTCTGTCTCATTCTCTTTCTCTCCCTCCTACTTTCTATGTTCATTTAGTTTTTGTTCTTTATTATCCTCTTTTTTCATGTTGAAATAATCTTTAAATAACCTTCAAAGTAGAACAAAATCACGTTCCCAGGTATAAAACCTTGATATTGTAAAGTTATCAATTCTTCCTAAATTTATTTACAAATGTAACACAATTCCACCCAAGCTTGAGTTTTTATAGGTAATTGACTAGATGATCCTAAAGTTTAATGAATCAAATGGCTCTAATATGTAAGACATTTGGAAATACATAATGAAAGGGAGTTGCATAGTAATATCATCTATATAAATCATCTTATAAATCTACAGTAAGAAGACTGTCCCTAGCACAGAAATAAAATATCAATAGAATATAAAGTACAAAATCAGAATCAGGAACATTAAAGAATATATGACAAAGGTGATATTTCAAGCCCAAAGGGGAGAGGACAGTTATTCAACACATACTGTTTCAAAATTTGTCAGATAAGAATGGAGAGGAGGAGGCACCTCTCCTCTGACCCCAGGGAATGTGAGAAGAGGCACAGTGGTTATGACAGGAAGCAGTCACACCTGTGAGTCCCTACCTTCCCCATCAGAGCTAGGGGGCATGGAGCACTCTCTGCTAAGATGGGGACCCCCCAAGGAATGTCTCCCTGCAGGGCACTTCCTTACCAGATGGAATGGCCAGTGCGGTTAAGTTGGTGGTCAGGCAGAAAAAAAAGATCTAGTTTGTACTCTTGAGAGTTCCTCAGTTTGTTCATGGCATGGGCGGGAGTCAAGGAGCAGCAGCCTTGCCTCAGTGCCTACCAGTGCAGGAAAAGCTACATAGCCTGGGCCAGGGCCCTGGTGGACACGTAGTGGTAACAGAGAGGGCTCTCCATTGCAGACCAAGGAAGACTAAGAATGAATACCTCATGAGTCTATTAGCTACAAACCACCACAGCAGGTTCCAGAAAAAGGCTCAGGGTTGGGACCACATCACCCCCACTCAGCAGACACCAGTCATATAAATCAAGGACTAAGAGGAGACAGAAACACCCCCTTCCCACTCTGCCCCGTGTCTCAAGTTGTACTGGCCTTTCCTCCAGATCTCTGCCACCGTCTTAGAAAGGACCACTGAGAGAAGAAACTGAAATTATAAGCTGACAGCATAAAGAGGATGAGTAAAATCTAAAATCATTGTTCAAATGAATGAATCAAGAGAAGTTTAAACCACTTTGGACTAAAATGTGTGAATCCTTTTTCCTGCTACCCAGCAGATGAGAAGCTGGTAACAGAGACCAAAATAGTTTGGAGACTAAAGAATCATTGCACATTTTACTGCTGAGTTGTATTGTGAGTAATTTTAGTTGACCTCACTGTCTTAAATCTTGCACATAGGCATCCGTATCTGCACAGAGAAATGTTAACAGTGGGAAATGCTGCATGAGGAGATTGGGTGATTTTTACTTTCGTTTTTGTGCTCTTCCTTTTGGTTGTTCTTACTTATGTACTATTACCCCATCATTTTCCAAAATGCAAAAGGCCATTTTGAAAGCCTAGTTCAAACCTCTTGAGTATTTTATACCTAAACATTCATCTTGATTGAGACTGGGTAGACAGATGAAAACCATATCAGGTTTTTAATTTTTTAATTTTTGAGACAGGGTCTCATTCTGTCACCCAGGCTGGAGTACAGTGGTGTGATCACAGTTCACTGCAGCCTCAACCTCCTAAGCTCAAGTGATTCTCCCACCTCAGCCCCCCAAGTAGTTGGGACCACAGGTATATGCCACCATGCCTGGCTAATTTTTTATTTTTATTTTTTGTAGAGACGGGGTCTCACTACATTTTCCAGGCTGGTCTTGAATTCCTGGGCTCAGGTGAACCTCCCACCTGGGCCTCCCAAAGTACTGGGATTACAGGCATGAGCCAAAGTCCCCTGCCCATATGAGATTTTCTATCTCTGATCCCATGCAGCTAGTAATCAAGGACTTGGTTGCTGACTCTGGAGGACCTGTATGCTTTCTTGAGCTTTGAACTTTAGTGCTAAAAGCTCACAGGCAGCCCTGAAACCCAAACCAAAAGGTTCTATGGTTTATCATCCTGAGCATGTTGATTTTATAGAAATAGCATATGAATTAAAGATACTACCCTCAAATTGAGCAAAACTTAAGTAATTTTTTTAAAGTTTGACCTGTTTTTAAATCACTCTTGGAGAAAAGGAAAATAAATACAAATAATTAATGGTGAGTACAGGCTACTATACCTTTGTTCTCCAGAATAAGCAGTTCTGTTCCTTTCTTGCTTTAGATGCTGAAGTGTAGGACACTCTCTGTGATTGTACATGTGTAACTGACAAAATGTGTATTTTTTTTCTCAGCTGCTATGGATTGGATTATGCTATTAGGAGTAAGAATGCTGATAGGAGCACACACAAACTATTTGTTCCTCAAGTCCATTTTCCTCCTCAAAAGCCTGGAGCGTGCCGTTGATCAGTGGGAGATGTACCTGGACAGACCCATGAAAAGAGATCAGCAAGTTCCACCCAAGGGACCCTATTTTTCCTAATTTCATTTGAAATAGCTTCTAATTGTCCTTCTTTCATTCCTGGTTCCTACCAGTTTTACAGCTTTTTCTGGTTTCAAATGTGAACTCACATACACTCTCATTTATCCTCATAACAACCCCTAGTGACCCAATGGTCGTCAATTTGGATATAACAAAAGGAGGCTCTGCGTTAAGGGGTTGTCCAAGGCATCCAGCTGAGAGGTGCTAAGACTGGCTCCATTTCCATCTCTATTCTCACTGACTTTGACCACACAGAACCCCAACATGTGGGGCCCCGGTATTTGATCAATTATTCTATTAAGAAGCAAAAGCAATTCCTCGCATTGGCCCCAGGTATTTAGCATTTCTCAGATTTACCTCGAGAAACGCTCATCAGCCTGTATATTCACATCTTCACCCTTGTCCCTTCCTCCTAGAAAGAAGAAAGTCAGTTGGATGCCCTTTGAGGAACCAGTGCAAGGCTTAACTGTCCTTCCACGACTCCTGCCTTATCTGTTTTCTATTTTCCTCCTTCTCCACCAAAGTCTGTAATCTCAAGAAAAGCAGGCATTGGCCTTAGGGCTCCTGGCCTAAGAAATATCGAGTCCAATAAGAAATCCCATTGACTGACCCCTCCTGCTTACCCCTTTGTGATGCAGAAGCTCCCAGAGGTTTGCTTTTGGCACATTACCAGCCTAACTCAGCATCACTAGGAGCAGGAAAAGGAAAGTAACCTAAACTAATACTGATTATAATTGTAATTATTGTAATAGTTAATTACTGTATTTGTACAGGTGTAACAGACAAAAGGTGTATTTTTTTCACAGCTGTTATGGATTGGATTATGCCATTTGGAATAAGAATGCTGTTAAGAGCACACAAACCAGTTGTTCCTCAAGTCTGTAGCAAATTTTTCAAAAGTTAAATTTAAAAATCACTACATTTGAATTTAGTGACAGGAGAAATGGACATAGATAGAGACTAAAGATCTAGCCCAAATTTTATATTTACTTGTTAGAGGATTTTGAACAAATTACTAAATTTCTTCAAGGGTTCAATTTCCCCATTAACTTTAATGAATGGCACATCATTATGGGGCCCCAGAGAAGCACAGTTACTTGTAATTGTAATCATCATTGTTATTATTATTATACATATTTTGCTTTTAAATGGATAAGGATTTTGAAAGTATATATAAACTGTAAAACATAAAATGCAAAACACCGTAAGAGACAGTAGTAATAATGATTATTATATTGTTATCATTCTCCAGCCTGTTTTTTCCTGTTTTGTATTTCTTCCTTCAAATGCTTTCAGAAATCAGTTTTCCCATTCATCACCACCATCCCACATTTCTGTTTCTTTTCCCATCTCAGATCATGCTGACTTTGAAAGCTTCAGCTCTTTCCTTCCTGAACCCCTCTCCTGGTACCTCTGATATGCCTTTTGAAATTCCTGTTAAAGAATCCCTAGGCTGCTATCACATGTGGCATCTTTGTTGAGTACATGAATAAATCAACTGCTGTGTTTTACAAAGGGTGATTATGCTTAATTGTGGGATTGTATTTTTCTTCTTCTATCACAGGGAGAAGTGAAATGACAACCTCACTAGATACGGTTGAGACCTTTGGTCCCACATCGTACGATGATGACATGGGCCTGCTCTGTGAAAAAGCCGATGTCGGAGCACTGATAGCCCAGTTCGTGCCCCCGCTGTATTCCCTGGTGTTCATGGTGGGCCTCTTGGGCAACGTGGTGGTAGTGATGATCCTCATAAAATACAGGAGGCTCCGAATTATGACCAACATCTACCTGCTCAACCTGGCCATTTCGGACCTGCTCTTCCTCTTCACCCTTCCGTTCTGGATCCACTATGTCAGGGAGCATAACTGGGTCTTCAGCCATGGCATGTGTAAGGTCCTCTCGGGGTTTTATCACACAGGCCTGTACAGCGAGATCTTTTTCATAATCCTCCTGACGATTGACAGGTACCTGGCCATTGTCCATGCTGTGTTTGCCCTTCGAACCAGGACTGTCACTTTTGGTGTCATCACTAGCATCGTCACCTGGGGCCTGGCAGTGCTAGCAGCTCTTCCTGAATTTATTTTCTATGGGACTGAAGAGTTGTTTCCAGAGACTCTTTGCAGTGCTATTTACCCACAGGATACAGTATATAGCTGGAGGCATTTCCACACTCTGAGAATGACCGTCTTGTGTCTCGCTCTCCCTCTGCTCGTTATGGCCATCTGCTACACAGGAATCATCAAAACGCTGCTGAGGTGCCCCAGTAAAAAAAAGTACAAGGCCATCCGGCTCATTTTTGTCATCATGGCTGTGTTTTTCATTTTCTGGACACCCTACAATGTGGCTATCCTTATCTCTACCTATCAATCCGTCTTATTTGGACTTGACTGTGAACGGAGCAAGCATCTGGACCTGTTCGTGCTGGCGACGGAGGTGATCGCCTACTCCCACTGCTGCGTGAACCCAGTGATCTACGCCTTTGTTGGAGAGAGGTTCCGGAAGTACCTGCGCCACTTCTTCCACAGGCACGTGCTCATGCACCTGGGCAAATACATCCCATTCCTTCCTAGTGAGAAGCTGGAAAGAACCAGCTCTGTCTCTCCGTCCACAGCAGAGCCGGAACTCTCTATTGTGTTTTAGGTCAGATGCAGAAAATTGCCTAACGAGGCAAGGACCAAGCAGATGAAGCAAACAGATTAAGCCTCCCACACTCACCTCTGGAACAGTCCTTCAAACTTCCAGTGCAGCACCGAAGCTCTTGAAGACACTGAAATATACACACAGCAGTAGCAGTAGATGCATGTACCCTAAGGTCATTATCACAGGCCGGGGGTTGGGCGGTGTACTCATCATCAACCCTAAAAAGCAGAGCTTTGCTTCTCTGAAGAGTTACCTACATTTTAATGTACCTGATGTTAAATAGCTACAAAAACGTAAAAGTTTTTATATTTTATACGTTAACTTCAGCCAGTTATTGATATAAATAAAACATTTTCACACAATACAATAAGTTAACTATTTTATTTTCTAGTGTGCCTAGTTCTTTCCCTGCTTAATGAAAGGCTTGTTTTTTTAGTGTGAATAAATAATCTTAAGCAACATAACGGCATGCCATTCCTGTTCTAAATATTCTTAAAAGTTTGTTGATTTCCTGTTCACACTGAATGGCAAAATTTCCCATGGGTGACTCACAGAGCCCTGAGAAGTGTGCACTGTCCTCTTAATGCCAATCTTGCATTGCTGAGGCGGCCAGGGGCCTCCTCTAAATATGAAGTAGCCTGGGTATGGAGTGGGGAGGTGTTGGGCCTGTAGAGACTCTTGACTCCTGTAGCTCAGTGCTCTCAAACTTGTCGTCAGAAGCACCTGGAAGGTGTGTGAAAACGTGGATGGCTGGGCCCCACCCCAGAGTTTCTGATTCAGCGGATCTAGAATGAGACACAAGAATGTGCCTAGCATCACTAGCAAGTTTTCAGGTGATGCTGATGATGCTGGTCCTGGAACCACACTTTTAGAACAACTGCCCTAGCTAAAATGTCTGGATGTTCCAGAGTCATCCTTGAAATTGCAGATTTTAGGTGTCAGAAGGAAATGTAAAATACCCTTGTGATCTAGGCTCTGCAAAGAATAATCACCACCCAGGGCAGCATATATATGTCAGTTCATCGTAAACCAATTTGTTTAGTGGGACTTTCTACTCCATCGTTTTTATTCAGTTGAGCTTTTCTTGAGAGCCTGTATTTAATACCCTGCCCTAGAAGCTATGATAGATACAAAGATGAGTAAGACTGTGTGTGAGCTACATCCTAAGGAGGAAAACATGCAACTTATGATGTAAAAGTATCTCCCCCCAAAAAAGTAAGAGTGGCCCAGGTCCCCATTCCCTTTGGTTCTCCCTAGTTATGGCTTCTGTGGGAAGTGAGTTCTAAGCTTCTGATTAACTTGTGCCTCTCAGTAGAGATCATATGACTGTGCAATGTGAGCCTTGCCAGCTGTCTGTCCAATAGCTCTTCCTGCTCTTCCTCTTCACCCTTCACCTATCTGTTAGGTGATCTGGACAGGATGCACAAACACTGCTTCAGGTTAAGTGAAAGATGCAAAACTGTGTAAGACAAGCACAATCCCTGCCCCTATGAAACCTTCAGTCTAGTAGGGGTTATAAGATGGAAACAAACAACTCTGGTGCAAAGAGGTAGACACTCAATGCTAGGCCTGGACCAGGAAGGGAAAAACTACTTCTTGCTGGAACCTAAGGGGAGGAAGATTTCATGGAGGAAGTAGCTTTTGAGCAGTTATCTGAAAGAAAGGCAGGATTTAGAAAGGGAGAGGATTTGGGAGAAGCCACCTTTAACCCAAGAGAATGCCCCATCCAAAGATGAGAAAGGAGGGCATGCACATTTGTGGACAGGAGGGTGGCATGGACAGGGTAGGGTGGGCCATAAATTTCACACAAGGAGAGCTATGGAAGGGTTTAGAGCAGGGGAGAAAAACAATGTAGGAAGATATGTCTGGTAACACATAGAGCATGCAGTGGAGGCCCCAGAACCATGCAGGAGGGAGTTAGGAGGTGAGTGCAAGTGTGGAGGCAAGGAAAGATCAGCAGCTGGTAAGAGAAGTTCCAGGAGCACTCAGGAGAATTTGACCAAGAGACAGCGTGAAGGATGAATTAAAGCACTAGGAGTGATATATGGTTGAGTGTAAAAATCAAAAGGCAAGCCTGGGCACAGTGGCTCACGCCTGTAATCCCAGCACTTTGGGTGGCCAAGGCGAGTGGATCACGAGATGAGGAGATAGAGACCATCCTGGCCAACACGGCAAAACCCTGTCTTTACTAAAGTACAAAAATTAGCCAGGTGTGGTGGCGGGTACCTGTAATCGCAGCTATTCAGGAGGCTGAGGCAGGAGAATCACTTGAACCCGGGAGGCGAGGTTGCAATGAGCCGAGACGGCACCACTGCATTTCAGCCTGAGTGACAAGAGCGGGACGTCGTCAAAACAAACAAACAACAACAACAACCAAAAAAAAAAAACAAAGGGCAAAGCAGTGTATCATATGCTTAAAAAAAAAAAAAAAAAAAAAGACACACGTTTTACTTTGTACGTAGATGTATAGACCTTCTCTCTAAGGATACAAAAGAAACCAGTACCAATATGGGGTGGCTGGAGAACAGGAAAAGAAGTATGACTTTTTGTGCCTTCTGGATTTTCAGTCATGGGAACATACTACTCATTCAAAAAATAAATACAACCTTAGAATGATATAAAAAATAAAAGACTAGGCCGCTATGCAGATGTTCAGAAGTAGGCATCTGTCCTACCAGCCATAAGGAGATTAGAAGCCTCCTGCCGTGAATTAATCCTGTGACCTGGCACAAATTATTTGGCCTCTTTAGCCTTGATTTCCTCATCCATATAATAAAAAAAGTTGAATTAAATCATCTCTAAGGCCCCTCTGTGGCCCAAGTAGACTCTAATCTTGCTAAAATGTTAGGAGCTGGAGGCTCTAAGTTTACAAAATAGATGATAACAGAAAGGAGAAGAGGAGTGGTGGACAAGCCCACAGCATTACCTCCACTGGTCGTGAGGCCAGGCATGGTTCCCACTGTTCACTAAGGGGTACTCAAGTCTTGTTCATTCATTTGGTCATTTACTATTCAGCAAACATTTGCTGAGCATCCACCATGTTCTTAGCTAAGTTCTGAGAAAACAAACGAGGGCACATCCACAGGTGTCCAATTCAGTCTGATGGTGAGCTCCCTGGGGATGTCCAATTCAGTCTCAACTTGGATGCTGCCCACAGGGGGCTCACCATCAGACTGAATTGAATACTGCTCTTGTCCTCCACTGCCAGAGTTCATGACTATGCCTTATAAAGGAATTACCAATGCTTAAATTTAACCCAGATGAGAGTTCCACGCAAAGACCAGAAGACATTTTCTACTTCCCAATTCAATGCTTGGAGAAAGGGAGTGCATTCTCTTGGCCATCATTCCATCCATCCTCACCCTCTGGTGAGTGGCCTGGCCTTTTGTCACTGTTATGCCTATCTGAGAGCTCTGCATAGCCGACACAGGATGTGAACTCTGGAACACTCTAAACCACACAACACGAATCTCAATTTGGCTAGGACGCTTTGAAGTATTTCTCTTTTTTGTGGTTCAGCCAAAATGTAAATAAAACAATCATTTAAAAACTGAATTATACATCACTGATTCTCTCTCGCATTATGAAGTTGCATCTGCCCTTAGGTAACCACAAGCGCAGGATAGAGTTGCTTGTTCACACCATACTCCTCTTACCCTTGAAAGCTTTTCGGAGCTTTTTGATTCACTTAAACTTCACCTAACCAAATCATGAATTGGTGTGTGCTGCTTTGTTCACCAGCCCAGCTCTGTTCAAGAATGATAGAAATACACTGAGGGAAATGTTCTGTATCTGCACTGTCCAATATGATCGCCACCTGCCACATGCAACTATTGAGCACTTGAGCATTGAAATGTGGCTTAGGTGGCTAAGGCACTGAATTTTTAAATTTTATTCAATTTAAATTACTTAGGATTTAAATTTCAAGGGCCACATGTGGTAGTGGTGCAGCACTAACCCCTTCAAATCTGCCTCTCAAATCTGCCTCTTGACCCCTCCTCTACCTATGCATCCAGCATCCCGTAGCCCTCAAACACATGCCCTGAACACTGCACAACAATAGGGAAAATGCTGGTGATGCAATATGAATGAGATCCATTTCTAGAACACTCACTCACTGTTCGGTGGAGGAGACCGACCTGATTCCTGTGGTTGTAATGAAACGTGAGGGGTGCCTGAAGGACACTGCTGCAGATAGTAGGAGGGAGACATTGAAGAAAGGTGCACAGAGAAGGTGTCTTTCTGCTTAGATGGGGTTCCTCCAGGCACAGACCCTGAGCAAGGATTTGAGGGAAAAAAGTTTATTTACAAAGTGCAGGAAACTCCAGTAGGAAAGTGAGGAAGTAAAATAGGGAGGGAGGAGAAGATGCGAACAAGGGTACATTATCCAGCCATTTTTCACAGGGGGTGACTGGAGTTAAAGCCACTTGGAAATTCTGCGAGACAGCACAACACACTTCTCCTGATTTGAGGGGTGAGGGAGTTGGGGTATTTACAATCCATTCCCGCCAGTCATTGGCCGAGGATTGCTCCTGGGGAATGTTAATCCCCAGCACTTCCCGCTGGCCTTGCTAGGGCAGGAGGCCTTCCCAGCTTTGGAGAACATTCCTGGGGCAACAAGATGTAGATGCCGGATATTGGAAGACAGTTGGGCATGTTTGGTTAAGGCTTGACAGACAAAGCATTTACTACACATTTGAACTAGTGTTAGAACAGTTTTTTCATGAAGCAGAGGGTGGGAGTGAGAGTAGCATCCAGGCAGGTGGATCAGTTTGTTGGAAGGCACCGTGGCACAAAAGTGACCCACAGATGCCTGCTGTGGTGATGCCTAGTGTGACATTGGGCAATGACCGATGCCCTTTATTGTGCCTCTCTGTTTTCTTCCCTGTTTGCTTTACTCCTCTTCCTTTTGTTCAGCATAATAATCTGCTGTTTCAGAAGATGGTCCTTTCCAGCTTGAGATCCTGAAGTGTTCTCCAGATTCCAGAGCTAAAATTCTAAAGGCTTCACATCTCCTGAACAAAGCAGTTTCTGGTCCTTTGTAGCCTATGGACTATAAAAAAAGCTTTACTGAGGTTTTTGTTCACTTCTTCCCAGGTAAATCCCAAGTGTAGTTAGGGTCATCATTCTTCTTTTGCTAATCTCTGACCTAATCCAGGGCTCGGACAAGGACCTGCAGGACAAACCTGGCCCACTGCCTGTTTGTAAATAGAGTGTCACTGGAACACTGCCAGGCTCATTTTTTTATGCATTGTCTGTGGCTGCTTTTGCACTACTATGAAAGTTGAATAGTTGCAACGGAGACTGTATAGCCCACAAATCCTAAAATATTTACTTTTTTGTCCTTTACAGAAGTTGTTTCTG